TACAACGAAGACTGGCCAAAGCGACCACAAATATCATGGGACAGTATCAATGCGGATTTATTAGGGGAAAGTCAACAACAGATGCCATACATACGGTAAAGCAAATTATGGAGAAAGCTTATGGATATAAAATAGAAATTGAACTGCTTTTTATAGACTTCCAACAAGCATTTGATTCAATAAACAGAGCGAAATTACTTACAGCTATGAGAGAAATGAAAATACACAACAAATTAAGACGATTAATAAAAATGACAATGAGCAAAACCGTAGTAACTGTAAAAACACAAGAAGGAGACACAGAAGAATTTGTTATAAATAAAGGTATACGTCAAGGAGATTCATTATCTGCAACTCTGTTTAATCTTGCCCTGGAATATATAGTCAGGAAAATCAACAAAAGTACACTTAGAACGAGAGAGGGACAAATAATAGCATATGCCGACGATATTGTGATAATAACAAAGAACAGAAAAAAAATGGAAAGTATGTTAAAAGAATTGGTAGCAGAAGGGAAAGTAATGGGATTAGTAATAAATCAAGAAAAAACAAAAATAATGAGATTTGACAAAAAATATGAAAACAAAAAGGTTAGACTGGGAGAATATATATTTGAAGAAGTAGAAAAGTTTAAGTATTTGGGAATATTATTAGCAAACAATGGAGAAAGGGAAACAGAAATTAAAGAAAGGATAATTACAGCAAATAAGACATACTATGCAAATAAAAAGCTTCTAAAAAATAAATTACTGAGCAAAAAATCGAAAATGAAAATATATAAAACAATAATTCGACCGACTATGATGTATGCTGCCGAAACCCTTAGCATGACAAAAAAAAACAAGAGGAAGACCTTAGAATACTAGAAAGGAAAATACTAAGAGCAATATTAGGACCAATAAAAATTAATGAAAACCAATATAGACAAAGAACGAATCATGAACTACTAAACGAAATTAAAGAGGATATAGTTTGTAAAATAAAACAGCAAAGGGCAAAATGGCTAGGACATATATGGAGATCAGGACCATCTACGACAATATTCTCAATATTGGAATGGACACCAGCTGGTAAACGAAGACGTGGAAGACCAAGATCTACATGGCTACAAGAAGTAACAAACGATCTCAACAGGGCGGGCGTACGACAATGGAGAGAAAAAACCAGAGATAGGAAACAGTGGAGAAAAATAACAAGAAAAATTAAATAAAGAAAATGAGGACTGATCTACCTCGTAAAATAGATCTAGAGAGCTTAAGCGGCGTAACCCCGCACGGGGTGTTTAGCCACAATATAATATAATGGGTATACTCAGTGCAGGAAGTCTAAACAGCCGAGCTGGGTTCACTACGAGGTGAAGCTGCAATAATTTTAATTCAGCTGGTTTAATTTTAGTACAATGATGATCTCCAAATCCTCCAATAAATCTAACGCCGAATAGTTTTCCATTCTACTAATGTCATGTAAAATAGACGAACCAAGTAACATATGTTTTTCTTTTAAAAGAAAATGTTAGGAAAAATGTAGTGGAAGTCTAACGCGACAATATGTCAACAAACATTAGTTGTTTGTGTGTTAAATTAAGATGAGGAATGAAACCAAATTATCAGTCAGGGCCAGAACCTTAGATAAAACCAAATTGTTAATATTTACTAAGAAACCAAATAATAATGTTGAACTAATTATTGATTACCAAAGTATCGGCCATGTATACAAATATAAATATCTTGGAACTTTAATTAATGAGAATGATTTTGCAAAGAAACTAACCACCACAATTGAAATTACACATAACATATTGTTACGTATAAATTAGATGTTACATATTTAGTATCCTACTATACGGTGTAGAGGCAAGTTTTCGAGATGTGACTTTACAGAAGAATCCTAAGAATATCTTATGTAAAGAGTAACACATGAAGAAGTTTTACGAATACTTGAAATAGATAGACCTGAATAATGATTTAAAGTTACGAAAACGACAATAACTTGTCCATTAGATGAGAGAAATAAAATATTAGCTTATGTAGAATATCACGCAAGGAACGATTTTAGGACAGCGTAGCGTAAGAAGGCAGTGAATATCATGGCTGAGCAATCTCATAGAGTGGTTTAGTTGTTTCCCTAACCAGAGTTTTAGAGCATTATGAAATAGAGTTCAGGTAATCCTAATAATCGCCAACCTTCGAAAGAATACGACACCTTAAGAAAAAGAGGAATCTAGAATGGGCTTTAAGAGGAAAGGATGTGATCATGCTAATAGAAAAAATCATAAGGAGAGCATGAGCCACCGTCAAACCAAGAGAACAAAAGGACGTGGTCGTAATAAATCAAACTAAAGAAAAGTCGTTCGCAAACCTACTGAAGAAAATTTAAGATCTGGCAGCAAGAAAAGATGTAGGTGATATAGGTATCAACAGAATAAGATAGAACAAGATACCAAGGGATATTGCTGAAACTAGGAGTAAGAAAAATGGCCAAAAATATCAAAAAATACTTTTGGGAAACGAAAACATGTTCAGAGTGATGGCAAAAGGGGACACTCTCAAAAAGAGGATCTTAGTGCAGACAATTCCACCTGACACTACGGCAGAAATAATCAAGAAAGCAGTAGAGAAAGCTGCAGGTAAAGAGCAGGTCTGTGAAGTAGTCTAAGTCTGGATAGAAGAACGGGACAACGTGATGAGAAAGGTATGTAGAGCACTATAACAGTTGTTGACGAGGACTTTGTTGAAAAAGTCCTTAATATGAAAGGGATACGAATGGACTTTACATCTTGTCGAGTGGTGGAAGTAAGGGCAGAGATAACGAGATGCAGAAGCTGTCGTGCCTTTGGACACTGGAACTGCAAGGGCCAAATTCAAAAAAGTGCTGCTTCCGATGTGACAACAAGGGTTATTTGATTGCTTAACGCAAGAAAGAGATCTTTAAAGAGGAACTAGAAGACATCAATGAACGCATATCAATTAATGAAACGCTAGTGAATAATCTCAGATATGCAGATGATACAATACTCACTGCGGGCAGTAGAGAAGAGAAGATTAAAGACGAAAAAATCTACGTTAAAAGAGAGAAGTTTAGAGAAAGTATCCAGATACAAATCATGAATTTGTTGCTTGTGTGAGTCCATTTCAAATAGGTAAAGAAATAATAAATCAGACTTACTCACAATCAATTTAATTTAACTATCCGACGACCGGTTTCGCTTTCTACAATATGCAAAGCATCTTCAGGTCTCGGTACAAAGTTAAACAAATGCTGAAATGATAAAAACCCATATTAGGGTGTTGTCTAATAAAGATAAAAAATTAGATGTTATAAATTACAATAATTATGCCAATATTACCTGTCTGTGGTTTTATTTAAATGATTGAGTTGAAAAAGGTATAAATATTTTAAAAAAAGTTAAAAGGACAAGGTAAGGCCCACAAGTTGTCATAAAATCTCTTCTATTGGAATAAATTAATGAATGAGCAAATAAATAAATGAAATAAAATAAAATTACTTACATGCCGGTACTCTATTAATAGATGGATGGTAGAACATGTTTGAAACTACTGTATATTGTTGAATGGAGAACTCAATACTATTATTGCAGTTGTTTGACAGTAAACGGGAAGTTCTTGAGGAGGTAGATTTGATCCAATGAATTTGAGATGTGTGTGAGATTGTTTGTTAAATGTAAGTGGTGTAATATATTATTGTGTTATTGAAAGTTATTTATACTTATTCCAGAGATATATTTTTGAAATGTGTCATTTCAAAAATATATCTCTGGAATAAGTATAAATAACTTTCAATAACACAATAATATATTACACCACTTACATTTAACAAACAATCTCACACACATCTCAAATTCATTGGATCAAATCTACCTCCTCAAGAACTTCCCGTTTACTGTCAAACAACTGCAATAATAGTATTGAGTTCTCCATTCAACAATATACAGTAGTTTCAAACATGTTCTACCATCCATCTATTAATAGAGTACCGGCATGTAAGTAATTTTATTTTATTTCATTTATTTATTTGCTCATTCATTAATTTATTCCAATAGAAGAGATTTTATGACAACTTGTGGGCCTTACCTTGTCCTTTTAACTTTTTTAAAAATATTTATACCTTTTTCAACTCAATCATTTAAATAAAACCACAGACAGGTAATATTGGCATAATTATTGTAATTTATAACATCTAATTTTTTATCTTTATTAGACAACACCCTAATATGGGTTTTTATCATTTCAGCATTTGTTTAACTTTGTACCGAGACCTGAAGATGCTTTGCATATTGTAGAAAGCGAAACCGGTCGTCGGATAGTTAAATTAAATTGATTGTGAGTAAGTCTGATTTATTATTTCTTTACCTATTATCCAGATACAATTACTTGGGGTGTGAGCTATATAAATAATGGGACCGTAGCCTTGAAATAAAATGACGCATTGAAATATCCAGAAGCGCTTTCAATAAGATAACAGCTGTATTATGCAATAAAAAACTTAAAATAAAAATTAGAACTAGAGTATTGGGATGCTCACATATTCTCTGCATTTTATATGGAGTTAAAGCCAGGGACAATTACGGACGCAACTTAAAAAGGACTTCTCAGCTTTGAAAAGTAATGTTATTGAAGAATGTGGACAATATTATGAACACAACATATAACAAAGTGGGAACCATTAAAAAAGATAAAAAAAGAAATACTCAACACTTAAAGAAAAATGAGTTAATTTAGTCACATACTAAGAATTGAAATATATGAGTCAATGTGATTGGTTATACAAGAGAAAGTGGAAGGAAAAAGAGGACCGGGAAGACCACACACGTCCTGGTTAAAAATTTAAAGCAGTGGATGTAAAATGTAAAATGATCAGTGATGATCGCAAATGTCCTTAAAGGATAAGGCACACGAAGAAGAAGAAGAATAAACTAATGAAAATTGTAACCAAATTGTAGAAAAATGTGGTGATTATTATACATAGTATAGAAAACTTACACATAACGCTGCGGCAAGAACTAACACACTTAGAAATTTTGACATTTTTACTACACTGTTAATACTGTTGTACAAAGTGTGTAAGTAACTATATAATCTAATAGCTTGTGGTAAATATTGAATTGGAATTTATATAATATACGACAAATTTGATTACGTTAGTTAGCAATAATACATTAATTGAACACAATATTTTTTGTAATTTATATTTCCTGTTCCAAAAACATGAATAGATCTTGTACAATAGCCGAAGGCTAGCCCATGGGAAAACTAAATTGTTAAAATCGTAAAAATGTATCTGTCTTAAGATTAAAAAGTGTACCAGAAAAATGAAAATCACTAATCTTAATAATTCTGTAAAAAAAAGATAAAAGTTAACTACATTTACATTTAAATATAAAAATGTATTTCCAAATTTAACTCCAAAATTTAAGGGCACTATCCTTTTCGTTACACGGTGCAATCGAAAAGATATTACATTCCCAGTGGTTTATCTGTGTACATAAAATACTTCTTTAACACAAAACTCCGCCCAAATCGTTTCCGCTAAAATCTTGCCAATAGGAGCATTCATAGGTAATTATCAACCACTCAGTCTTAATCCAAAGAATCACATCTTCATTATATGATAAAAGGTGTCACTGACAAAAACAATAAAAATCTAAAATAAAAAAGAATAAAGACAATATTCATAGCTCACCCAAAAGTTTCTTCTTTTCGCCGACGTTTTAAAGTTAACATTTCAAATAATAATAACCGAATAACAAGACTGTCCACGATCTGACATTGGCCAAACCAACCCAGAAAAATCCAAAACAATATCAACATTCTATTTTCATTCAAAATTCCGATCTCCATAAAGTTCAAACTTGTTTTTAAAAATTACAGATCTATAGCAGTAGAACTTGAACACTACTATATAAGAATGTTAATACTCATATTTCAGTCAAGTACTCCATCCAAATTGGAATAGTTGTATGAAAAACTATCCATCAAACATGTATTACGACAGGGTTGTGTTTTGTCACTCAGTCTTTTTAATATATACTCTAAATAAATATTAAGAGAGACTTTGGATGACAGACAAGAGGAAGTAAAGCTATCCGAAGAAGAAGTAATTAAACAACATCAGATACGGTGACGATACAGCCGTTCTTGCAGAGATGACGGCTGAAAAGATTAATATAGATCAAGGTTTGATTTCGGTTAATAAAGATGGGACAGACGCCAAACCATTTTAAATACCTAGGCAGCTGGTTAAAAATGTAAATTGTAACACGTGTACTATCACGTAAGGCTTTTATGACATGAAACCAGTCTTTTGTAACAGAAACCTTTTGATACATATTCGCGAGAAGATCCTAAAGGTTATGTATGGTCTAGGTTGTGAGAGATAAACATTAAAAATAACTGATGAAGTAGAAGAAGAAAATATTGATTTGGAAAGCAAGCCAGAATCAGAGAGGTGTAAAGAAATTAACCACAACAAAAACACAAAACAAGAATGGAAGGAGAATTGGAAAAATAATTGAAGAATGAGAAAATATTTATATTGTTCTGAAGCTATTTTCTTGTGGCATTGTAAATTAATTATAATTTAACTGGGAATAAGCCACAATTAAAGATAAAAATACTTAAATACTTTAAAGTCGTCTACTTTAAAATGCATATTGTATGTCTGAATTGTCAATATAAATGAGTCAGATAAAATTAAATTATTAGAAGACTTTTTCACTATGTAACAAAAAACAAAATTTGTTTAATTTACTGTTTGTATTTTGAGAACGATTCCGAAGTGGAAATTGAAACGTCAATAAACGTATTTTTATCTTTAATTGTGGCTTATTCCTAGTTAAATAGTAATTAATTTACAATGCCACAAGAAAATAGCTTCAGAACAATATTGCAAAGTTTGCAAAAAAATGAATAAAATGAAGTTTTACATCCAATGTTCGTGGCTCGCGTAACTGATTGGCTAGAGAAAGCGCGCATTTCAAATATCAACGAATCAAACGTAGGTAAAAAATAGACCGGTTATGTATGCAACGCTGTAATATTTTCATGTTTTAATCACGGAACTGTCGTTTTTTTCATCACATCCAACTTAATGCGTTAGAAAGAAATCGAAAAACTGTGACGCACTAAAAGAAGGTTCTGAAAAGGAGAATAGCGCATATCCTCCTAGTCGTACTAATCTTCTTATGGGCATCTCTTTGGATTTATGTTACATTTTGTCAAAGGCATTCTCAAAGTCAACTAGACATATAAATACGTTATAGTTGACATCTCAACACCATTCTATGAGTAATTACTTAGTAAATAATGCCTCTCTAGTGTAAAAGCCTTTTCTAAATCCAGTTGGTTTCCTGTTATTCTGTCGTCTAGTTTTTTATAGACACGTTCATTTATTATCCACAAGAAAAATTAATTCCTGTAGTTGGCTGCATACCATTTATCACAAAAATTTTATTTAAAAATTCCTTTATAAAAGGTATATTATAAAAAAAAACCTATCGGGCTACATCACTAAACGATTTTGGAATAACTATTCCATCATCAGTGCTATCTGAATGTACATGTTGGAAGCCATTAAATATGTGGGTAAAAACCCTTTAACTGTAATTTGATTACCTTTGAGTTACATCTTTAATAATTAAAAACTATAGTGGGACTCCACTGAGGTTGCTACTCCTTAGACGAAGTGTCTGTGAGGACTGTTGCTATTAACAAGTAGAAGATAGGAATTTTCTTTTGTTTTAGTAGAAAATTTCCTCCTTGGTTTTAGCATCCACTCAATCAATTAATAAGAAGCAGTTAAAAATCACGATGTTTTTGTATGTCACATTTTTATCATCATTTTGCCGTTTACAAGATACCGTCCTAAATGTGAAAACGTGGGACACCAATTTTTTAATTTAGTCTTGACGTCATTATCAAAATTTTGTTATGATAATATTCAATTACGGAAGACATGTATGAAAGCATATACAATTTTTAATATATACTATTATATATCCATTATAGTAGGTTGAATTTTGATAATTTGGATATAATATACATGTTACTCAATTGAGGTACATATATAAATTTAACGTATAATAACTTAATATCTTTTGCAAGGATCCACAATTCATCATATATATATATATATATATATATATTATATATATATATATATATATATATATATCCCAAAAATATTTTTATAATTCATTTCTAGTCTACATATCATCATGGATTCATATACGAAACATCTTCTGATAAAGGGATTAAGTAGCAAGGTATTTTTTTATTTTCACCATAATTTAATCCATAATCCATTTAAATATGCTTTAATTCACCTAGATATATCACTTTCTTCTTCTTCTGCCTTTATTTAAGTAATTTTGCTTGTTCATTGGCTAGTTGTTGCCTCTCTCTTTTAATGACTATTGTGTCCGTCATTATACTGATGTGATTTTTCTATTTAGTGTCCACTAGTTTATATCCTGTACATAACCTTTTTTCTGATCTCGTCAATCCAAACATGCCATCGAAATTTGCAAATCTAAGAATCTTTTCATTCTCATATTAACTTCATTAGAAAAGATACTTTGGAACCATCAATAAATCTAGATCCTTTGACCCCACCAAGAGTTAGATTAACCAATAACTTAAACAGTCAATATCTTCTAGTAAAATTAAGGAAACACGACCAACCTACCTCAGTATGTTACAAAGGATTTACCAACACAAGCGTTTAACTCTTTTTGGATTCCAAAGAACTTCCCATTAAGACTAAAGAATTACGAAAAATCTGTTCAGAATTTAACAATACCTGTGGAATTGGTCCAACGAAGGTGGAAGCTGATCTTGATGCTTGTAGGCCCTTTCTTACTTCGGAAAGAGTTATTCACCTGCAAAAATCAAGGCAATGTCCCCAAAATTACTATTCCGTTGTCTCTCCAAAACGAAATTTTTAAACAATACGATGTGTTTTATGGGACTAGGAATCTCAAATTATTTTAGTGATGAAAACTTAAGCAGGGTTCTGATTAATAGTCATGTCCTAAGATATAGAGCAAATAAATTATTTTTGCTTCTAGAGGAATTAGGATTTCCCCCGATAGTTGCGGTTACTGACCTTTTTTGTCAAAAATTATCCAATTGCTAGGTATAATCGTCCAAGTTCAGCTCATGGTGGCAATTCTTTATACAAATAATTTCTCGCTGGTAAAAAATATGACACTTTGTTGAATGAAACCTTTTTTGAGTTTTCATTAGTTTATAAAAAAAAATCTTAATCTATAAGTTTTTTTTTGCATTTATAGTTCACCTTATTCTTACACGGAACTATTTTTCAGAAGTTGCTAAATTTGTTAGATCACCTGCCCAGTTTAAAGCAGAAAAAAACTATGCGTTGGCTTAAATATTAATTACGCTGCTGCTTGTGCTACCCTACTATCCTTTGTCAATTTGTTTGAATCGTATGGTCTCACAACGCACGTTAATTCTCCTACAACAATTACTAAAACAACATCTACCATAATTGATTATATCGTCGGTCTAGCGCACACAGGTGTTAAGTGACTTTTTGGGCAAAATGAGTTAAATGCATTCCGAAATGAAGACTAGCAAGGAGTTTCATATGCACACTCGAGCTAACTGATAATTATAATTTTAAATTAGCTATCGCCATCTAACGAAAGTGGTAAGTACTAATAAATTGTAGGGATCTAGCACAAAGGTGAGAAGAGCACTTAGTACAGCGATACTCAACCTTTTTTTTTCCTGGGCCGTATAGTAGCTATTACCACAGCTTGCGGGCCGCAATCTAGGTGAAGTAGTATAAATACATACATATATATAATATATATAATATATATATATAATTTTCAAAATATGATTTCAATGCATAATACTTGAGCAAAATTTCGGTCAAATGCTTTTTAAATGCATTCATTTTTTTAATCCTTGGACTAAAAACTTTAAACTAATAAAAATTTTGGAAAAATTTAAACGTAGAATAAAATATTTCATTATTACCGATGGCCAAAAGTCCCTAA